GGTCCTGACTCTCTCATATACACTGAGAGGTATGTGAAGATTAAGAGGTTTGTTGATATTTCTGTTTCTCTCTTGAAGACTAAGTTCACAGGGTGTGGTGGTGATTCTTACTAAACAAGTAGGTCAGCTTAGCCTTTTCTCTTTTTTTCCCCATGTCTCCTGATTTGATATTTGCTGTCCTTACAACGCAGTTCATCCGCATCAAACGAACAGAGAGATGACTATGTATAGGAAACCCAAGTCTGCTGTGTTGTGGTGCAGCTTTCTCAAGCCCCAGCTAGTAAGTGTGTCCCTGTTTGTTAGCAGTGGCTTTGGCAGTCAGCCCATCTGGGCACTGTGCCCCTGTCGCGGGTACAGTGAGGCCTGTGCCAGTTTTCTATAGGCCGGAAGTGGCAGCTGTGGTAGGATCAGCCCCTGAATCATGTGCTGGAGGAAAATGTGACAACCTGATGTGTAAACAGCACTGGAGGAAAAGGGACTGACAGTGTAAACATGGGGACAGAGGGAAAGGAAAGGACTGACAGTGTAAACACAGTGATAGAGGGAAAGGAAAGGACTGACAGTGTAAACATGGAGACAGTGGGAAAGGAAAGGACTGACAGTGTAAACACAGCAATAGAGGGAAAGGAAAGGACTGACAGTGTAAACACAGTGATAGAGGGAAAGGAAAGGACTGACAGTGTAAACACAGCAGTAGAGGGAAAGGAAAGGACTGACAGTGTAAACATGGAGACAGAGGGAAAGGAAAGGACTGACAGTGTAAACATGGAGACAGAGGGAAAGGAAAGGACTGACAGTGTAAACANGACTGACAGTGTAAACATGGAGACAGAGGGAAAGGAAAGGACTGACAGTGTAAACATGGAGACAGAGGGAAAGGAAAGGACTGACAGTGTAAACAAACTTCCAGGATCGAAAACACTGCAGAAAGAAGGGAGGAACTCAAAGTCAGAGGCATTTGTGAAAATCTTTTCACCCTGTTGCTGGTCATTCAGAAGCAGAGCTTGCCCCCCACCCCACCCCCCTCCCTGTGCCTGGGCGATGACATCATCAGCCAGTTGCAGGTCTGGATGTTCTGCCAGCATTCCGGAGCGTTCTGCCTCTGATCCCTCACAGATGTTTGTGCGGGAACACGCTGTACTCAGACCTACAATTAAAGCGTACTGACCGATATTTTTTTTCATGTGTTTTTTTCTTTTTTTTTGTTTTGATTAAACCTTCAGCAGTCATACTGGAGGAAACCAGGGGAGATTTTAATTTTTTTGCATTATGCAGATTTGGCACCATCCCACCACACTCTCTTCATACCTCTGCTTTCTACTTTGGCTTCTTGCCCTAACCTGTCAGTGGTGATTTAAATGCCTCCATCTGCCTTTGACCTAAAATGTTCAAATTACATGAAACTGAGATCTCTTCCTCTGAAGGTGTTAGCTGACATTAAATCTCAGTGGTTATGTCTGTATATATCTTTTTCCAGTGAACTGTGCTAGTAATTCTCTGCAACCCAAGGGATTCCAGGAACGTCACTGAAACACTGCAGAAAACAAGCCAGTTACAGAAACTTGTTTCTCCCCCACCAGCGCTGGTCCCAGTATTGGTCCTGTCTATACAGCACCCTGTTCCTGTCTTGCCAAACAGAGCCTCATAAAGGCTTCCGCCAGGGGACCTTTAAGTGGAGTTTAACCTGTCAACGTGACGTATGTCTCTCAGAAGTTAGCTTTCGCTCGTGGCTTTTCCAGCAAAGCGGCTTGTCTGTTCTCTGCTGTTAGGCTGTTGGGCCTCATGAGCATCATGGTCGCTAAGTAGCCGACCCCCGATCCGGTGGTGGTGCTGTCTGGTATTCAGTTTGGCTGTGACTCGTGTACCTCTCCTGCCCAGATACCCCGTCAGGTGCCCTTTTCCTCCGCTGCAATTCCCTCCTCAGACGGCACCAAGATGGCCACCAAAACAACGATAAACAATCAGAGCACGATATCAAGAAACACAAAACACCGCGTGACCTTTTTTCTGCGTTGGATAACCACCCACGACTCCCAGCAGGTTGTACCTGTTGGTGGGGGGGAGGGAGGGGGTTTTACACGATTTAATCAAGTTAATCTGGGGTTTCCGTTCACCAAAGAAAAGAAAACACCCAAACAGCAAACACACTCACAGAACGATGGTGAATGACATTTTATAACTACTTTCCATTTAGTGTGGAGGCTAATCTCCTACATAATGAAAGTGGCTGTCCTGTTAAATTTTTAATGGGGTTTTACGGTACATCCCGGCTGGTAGGGAATAATCAGTGTTTACCTCGCACTTCTGGGAGCACATATGTCTGTGAAAGGCCCTTGGGTTTAATGATGAACAGAGTGTGTGTGGGGGGGGGGGGTTTAGGGTTCGGGGAGGGTTACGTGCATTACATTGTGGGGACCAAATTTTTTAAAATCTGTGAGGTACAATCAAAAAAATATAAATGCCAAAAGTCTTGTATTTTGGTTGGTTACTTATGTTTAAGTTTAGGACTGGGTTAAGGTCGTCATTGTTAGGATTAGGGTTTTTTCTGTAAAAGTGAATGCACGGTCCCCACAAATGTGTGTGTGTGTATGTGGGGAGTTCTGTAGGCCAAGGTTTTGCCAGCCCATAAAACCTGATGATATTTTTGACAGTTGAGGCATCTGCTATACTCACTCCCTGCCAGAAAGATCTCAGCTGCTAGCTGCCGCCAATGGACGAGCACATAACTCCCTGGGAGCATCTCATTGGCTCCTTACGCCGTCTGTTACTTCTCCAGCTACTCCACTCATCTCTCTTCTGGAGGACAGAAGTCTGTTTCTTGCTGCACAGCTTCTCCTAGATGGGAGAGAATTACAAACACCCCCCATGTCAGTCCTCCTGTCCTTACCTCTCTTGCTGCAATAAGTTCCTCAAAGTATTTCCATCTCCAATTCTCATAAAAAAGGAAAAATTGGTCCAATAAAAGCCAGCAGAGTGGCTTATGATGACGCTGTGTATTGTAAGATGTTTACACCAATTACAGTACAAAATGGGGCAGCTTTCACTCTCTGAAACTCTGTGCACAAGCAACCACAAAACATTTTAATCTCACTTTAGGTTAAACCTCGGCTGGTGATGCAGGGCGAGGCGGCTGCCCACTAAATCAGGTGCAGAACAGAAACCTGAAATGGAAACGTTTCGCTCTTGGTTTGGGGAAGCTGGAGATTACGCGGGAATCTCTTTGCCCAGGACCCTGCCGAGCCGAGCCGAGCGGACATGACCCTGCCAAGCTGACGTGTAGTCAGAAGATGACTCTGAGTGACTCTGAGTGACTCTGTTCGTGGATTTACTGTAGAGAGCAGCCCTTGTGTTTGTGTGTGTATATGTGTGTGTGCGTTATGTGTATACTAAATTGTGGGGACCAAATGATAAACCCCTGTTATTTTGACGTTGTGGAGACAATTTTTTCAGTCCCTACAAAGGGAAACTTGATTTTATAAAAATCTGTGACTGCGATCAAAAAACAAAAAATGCTAAATGTTTTGTATTATGTTTGGTTAAGGTTAGGGCTGGGTAGGGGTTAAGGTTCTCATTGTAAAGATTAGGGTTTATCCCCATAGAAATGAATGGACGGCCCCCACAACGATATAGATACCTTGTGTGTGTATCTGTCTGTGTGTGTGTGTGTGTGTGTGTATATGTCTCTGTCTATGTCTGTGTACCCGGGAGAGAACACAGAGTTCTGCGCTGACCCCCCTGTAGCATAACAGCACCATCTCCACGCTGACAAGGACGTTCTCCAAACCGCGCTCCGGCCCGGCTGCTTACTGCACAGGAAAGCAAAGTGGGCTGTTCACACTTATTGTTTCCTCAGCTCTCTCTTTCTTCGTTTGTATTTTCCTTTCATTTCAGGGTTTTTGCGTTCCACGCGTATCGCCCTTGGTAACGCCAGCGACCTTTCGCCGTTACACCTGCATGGACTGAACACGCTCCTGGCCTCAGTCTCCCAATTCCATAACCACTTACCCAGAACGGGGTCACCTGGACCCAAGAAGCACAGGGTCCAATGACACCCTAAACAGAACTACAGTCCAGTGTAGAACATAATTGGGCACCATGAGCAATATATTGATGCGAGTTTAGTACATATAAATACATATAACACTGTCCGTCTTGAAAAAGGTCTTGTGCCTTATCTTTAGTTTCCTTTGGCGATATCAGCCCTCCTCCTGGTCCCTGTCCTTACGTTAGTGCCCCAGCATATACGCTATTTCTTTGTGGTCACACGTGCGTCAGTGTGCGTGCAAAGGAAGCTGACGTGGTACACGGCACCACGGACGGCGTGAACCCGGGCACTTCTGCTGCAGTTGTGTAACGCTTCAGGGGAAGTGAAAACTGTTTTTCTTTTCCGTTTTTTTTTTTTTTTTTGATTGGCACTTCAGAGAAAAAAAAAGCGTGATTCGTGATACTTCTGTCTGCCAGTATGGTTCAGAATAGACACAGGAAATTTTTAAATATCTGCAAACACAGTCTGAAATGCTTCGGAATAGCTGCACTTATCTGGCAATGCAGTCTGAGGTTTTTTTATTCTGAAAAAGCAGCGTTTCTCTACCAGCACAGCCACATTGTCAGATGAGCCACATCTGTGCTGCAGCACAGCCTCAAATATCTTTAAAAATCAGCCATTTTTCACCAACGCAGCCTGAAATACTCAAATAACACGTGCTCATCTGCCAACGCATCACTTCGAGAACTCATGTCTGTCTGTTACCAGTCTTACTCTGAGCTCTTCGATGTGTTTATATCTCTTTTTGCGGTTTACTGAGGTTGAGTTTTTTTTATCGACCTCAGGACTGCGTCTGATGATCAACTTCCTGTTTTCCTCGCTGGTGTCGCCCCATATCTTGTGCAACGCCAACGAGACGACAGCAGAAGCTGAGTTTTCGAAGAACGGCAGGTGACGGCTAGCGGCCCGGAATTGAGGGAGCTGTCAGAATGGCTCTCGGTGTCCTGCTTCCCCTAAAGACCCCCCCCCCCACCACCGTCACCTAGGTGTCGCGACTCCGGGGTTGTACCTCACTTACTCGGTCATCTGCCGGACTTTTGTGACCGCTGCAGGTGGAAGACGCGTGTCAGCTCACGCACTCGCGGATGTACGATTCTGTCGTCGGGGCCTGCGTGTCCCCACAGCGTTTCCGGGGATAGGAGCTAGAGCCTCCTGCAGGCCAGGTGACCTTATTGTCCATCTTCTTTGTGTTACAGCCGTGTTGAAGGCCTTCAGCTGTGACCAGTGTGGTGCTCATTTCTCCCAGGAAGAGGCCCTGAACTCACACAGACAGACACACTCAGGTACGGCACCAACATTGCCAGAGCAGTTAATGGTTTGGTACCATTAACAAGCAACACTGATCCAGGTCCTGTTGGCCTCCCTGATCCTATAATCCATTCCTATTGACATTTCTATGACTTACTTATTCATTCTTCCATCTTCTCACATCTTATTCTGGTCAGGTTTATAGGGTTATTCAGTCTACCTAATAATGTGTTTTTGCAATGAAACCCTGCTTGGCTAACAACTGAAATGAGGTAAGTTCTGATGACATACAAAAGAAAAAGATATATTAGAGGCCAGCGTAATGCATTATGGGAAAGCCAGAATTAGTTGCCTATTTGATACTTTTCTCATTTTATAGGATTCTGGACTTTCCTTTAGGATCCCTGTCCACAATTAAATATCTTAGCCTCTGTGTTGGAGGTGATTCCCCCATGAGAGAAATACAAGGGTGGTGTTCTGTCACAAGCTGACCATAATTGCTGGTAGTGATATTGCAGAGGTGTGGCTGCGTGGACATTTCATAAAGTGCATTTGTAGGTCTTGGGAACAGGGTGGGGAGGGGAGGGGAGAGGAGTGGGGTGGACTGGGTTTGTTTGCTGGCCTGTGGTGCCAAGACTCCCAGAAAAACAACATCATGTGCTCATGTTTATGGGTTACTGTAGCGACGTCACAGCCTCCCAGCTTGTGCTGCAGGGAACTCACACTGCTTCCCTCAGCCCCCCACCCCACCCCCCCTGCAAAGCCGAAAACTGCAGCTTTTGTTTGTCACATCTCAAGGAACGTAAAGTGCTACCGCACTATGGGCTGTAAGCCCCAGAGGGCAGAGCTGACCTGTGTGCCTATAGCTCTCAGATCACATGCCCTGCAGTAACCTCTGAGCTGGGGGAGGGGGTAACTTAATCGCCCAAATTGAGGTTTCCAGGCTGTTCACCTAAGCTGCAAAAGTAACATGAATTAAACATGGCACTCTGTTAATTTACAGCACAAACATTGTTCTGCTTTAAAGTAATTAGATATAGAAGGGAACAACCTGTTATTCAGATGCCCTAACAGGGTTTAGACTGAGCTTAAACTTTTACCCAGGAGGGAGCAGATCTGGTCATTGCTGGAATGATTTTCACACATGTCACGTTGGGGGGGGGGGGGCGGTGTTGTCTCTGTATTTGATTCACTCTTTTATTACATTACTGAATATCTTTGCATCTTTAAAAAAGCATGAAATTGACATTTTTAGCAACATTGTGCAGTTGGCTTTTAACCACGTTCTCCATCAGACTGACCATCTCCTTTCAGTCCATATTGTCACTGGCCAGAGGATAAAGCTGCTTTTATGGCGAACCGCTAGAAATGTGCCTCAAAGACTGGTTTCCTCATTCAGTGGCCAAATTTCTGAATTTCAGCCAGACAGTTGGTGATAGCAGTTAGCAAAATGTCGAACACTATATTTTAAAGCCTGACAAGACAGCCCTAGTGAATGTCACAGTAAACCACCTTATGCTGTTTTTATTAGGTTTTTTTTACGTTGAATCTCCTCATTCTGCAGAGGACTCCTGGCAAAAGAGAACAGGAAGCACTCCCCCTGCTGGTGAGTGCTGAGAAAAACAGGCACAGGGTGTCAGAGCCCATCCGTTGCCAGTGCCTGGAGATGAAAGAGACAAAGGCCATTCATTCCTCTTTGATAAGTTATAGCAGCTGGTTATATTAGGGTTTACTACAGAAACATATATCACTATGTGTTTTTCTTGACATCCTAAACGCATCCTTCACTAATTTATTTGTTAATAACTCAGTAGCACCTATGACAGATGAGCTGAGAATGCAAGCCAAGTGATCACATGACCTATATAGCCAGGAAGCAGGTAGCCTTTTGGCTCAGAAAACAAAGACTTGCTGGTTGTTGCTCTAGAAGGACCATTGAGAATTAGACTTGCAAGTGCATGCTAATGGGAAAGCTCTCCAAGTCAGACCATCCAATGCTGCTAAAAGCCACAGGGTCCTACTGGAAGGGGGGGGGTCGTGACTGTGACGGAGCTGTAGGCACCTATGACCCCAAGCCAGCTGCCTGCACCTTTTAAGGGACCATTTGGCTTGGAAAGGAATTTTTCCAGAAGGTGCTTTGGGTGTGGGAGTCAAATGTCAGATCAGAAGAGAGCAGAGCTCGTGGGTGCACTGTGAGCATTTAAATATCGACCTCGTGGATCACGCAGCCGGTCTCCTGCCTCGCGGCGAGGTCAGTCGCCAGTCAGTGGCATGCTATTTATACGCTTGATTCAAAGAGGCGAGATTCTCAATCCAATTCGGTGACCCACCCACCTCACCACCGGACCGCAGTTCCGGCCGGCAGCACATGGTGGGTCTCTGCCGTGCTGAGGCACGCGGTGAGTGACGGCCAGTTCCATGGCCTCCTGCCCTGGGGAGGTTTTAAGCTGCGGCTTTAGCGCAGGCACTGAGATAGAAGCAGCAAGTGTTCAGGGTGGAAGTTGGCGGCACACGTGTCGCTGTTAAAGGGGAACACGCGTGGCAAGCAGATGCACGTGTGCTGGGGATTCTGAGGGATTCGGCTCCGGGGCGGGATGGCAGGGAAATGGAAAGTGACAGGGAGGAATGGAAAGTGACAGGGAGGAATGGAAAGTGACAGGGAGGAATGGAAAGTGACAGGGAGGAATGGAAAGTGACAGGGAGGAATGCAAACGGGGGACGGCTGTTTTGGGGTAAACATGGAAGAACGGATGCAGCCAAACCGAAGGCGGTGTTGGTCAAGGCAGGGATACAACTGCTCTCTGGAAGGAGGAACACTCTTACATCCCCCCCCCCCCGCTGCCAAAAACACGCTACTCTCACTTCCCACCCCTCCAGTGACAATAAACTGAGGATCTCCCGGGGGTGTTGGATGTGGTGGAGATGCCGTGACGACCCGTTGCTCATGGAGGGTGAGCATGTGACTCAGTGAGGTACAGTGTGGAGGCCAGGGGCTTGTGGGTAGTGGGGCTTGTGGGTAGTGGGGCTTGTGGGTAGTGGGGCTTGTGGGTAATGTCTTTGCCTCTTCGGGGGAGGAGCCTCCACCTGTCCTGTGAAGTGGGCATTGGGTGACTGCCTAGTCCATGTCAGAGGGGACACTATGAGCTACTTCAGATTTTACAAACTAAAACTGAAAGGCTCCTGTACTTGGCTGATTAGTTCAGTTCTTCTTGTGCTTTTACTGGTTTGTTTCCTTGATTAAAAGACTCATCCAGCCATTTGACATTAACATCAGTGACAGGCATAACTGTTGGAGACTGACCAATCGGCATACAGCAAGAACTGAATTGAAATCCAGGTCTTTGAATTGGTTGTTCACGAACCCCGTCCTAGCTCAACGTGTCCCCTCTGACATGGATTGGGTCACCCTAGGTGGGTGGGCCGATGTGAACCTTTAATGGTCACCAAGCCCTGGAGCTTCTGGAATAGATCCTGATTCTGCTATTTGAGGGAAGGACCCATACGGCCCAAGAGACCCCCCCCCACACATTTCCCAAAAGCAAGAAGTAATAGTGTACGGCTGTTACAGTACACCCCGGTGGTCCCCAACAGGGGTGTATCTTCCAGATCCTGCCCCTGCCTTTAATTCCAGTTTAATTGCCAGCAGTCCACGGCCCGATCAGCCGGCAGAGAGAGCTTTGATTCCTCTGGACTCCGTCAGCCACTGTTTTAAATTTGACTGTAACGCCACCTGAATTTCGATGAGTCTGCAGAGGGGCTTTCTGTTTACTAATTATGCCGCACTGCAAGAATCAGCTGATTAAATTGGATTTGAGGGACCAGGTTGGAGGGGGTGGGTAGGATTCTCTTCATTGTAAATGATCTTCAGCCAGCCAGCTCTTAAAGGGACACTGCACCTCTGCTGTTTGACTGTCACCTGTACGTGGGCGTGAGATCAGTAAATGCCTGGCTCTTAAAGGGACACTGCACCTTTACTGTTTGACTGTCACCTGTACGTGGGCGTCAGATCTATAAATGCCCAGCTCTTAAAGGGACACTGCACCTCTGCTGTTTAACTATCACCTGTATGTGGGCATCAGATCTATAAATGCCCGGCTCTTAAAGGGACACTGCACCTCAGCTGTTTGACTGTCACCTGTACGTGGGCGTCAGATTTGTAAATGCCCGGCTCTTAAAGGGACACTGCACCTCTGCTGTTTGACTGTCACCAGTACGTGGGCGTCAGATTTGTAAATGCCCGGCTCTTAAAGGGACACTGCACCTCTGCTGTTTAACTGTCACCTGTACGTGGGCGTCAGATCTGTAAATGCTCGGCTCTTAAAGGGACACTGCACCTCTGCTGTTTAACTGTCACCTGTACGTGGGCGTCAGATCTGCAAATGCCCGGATCTTAAAGGGACAGGGCATCCTTAATGACCCAGAAAAGTAATGACATAAAATGCTGTTCTTTTATGTATGTGTCTAGATTAGGTTGCGATACTGTTATACAAATATGAAGTTTTTCCTTTATGGATTCATTAAAGCCAAAGCACTTTCTGCATACTCATAGCTTGGGGGGTCCTTTGGTTGTTGTATTTTTCTCCCTAATTGATGCCTCAGCTTCAGCTCAATGAGCACATGGCTACAATCTCATAGATAATGGAGGATTGATACTCTGCAAGCTTCTGTAATAGTAGCTGGTCGGAAAGTGTGTGTGTGAGCGTGTGTGTGTGTGTGTGTGTGTGTGTGTGTGTGTGTGTGTGTGGGAAAGGGAGTGAGAGAGGGAGGAGAGAAAGAGAGAGAGAGACCCACACAGATTGATATATAGACCTAAATTAACTAGTCATTGTCCTTTTGTATTCTGAAAAAGTATTTCCATTTTTCAAAGATTTTGTATAAAATTTTGTGTCTCTATGCTGACATCTTGTGGACATCACTGCAGGTGCAACACTTATATGTAATGCGCTCATCAGTGAAGGGGACTGGCTTATTTCTGTGATTTTTTTGTGGCGCTAATTGAATCCTTTGTGTGGAATGTGTTATCCATTACTACAAATGTGGCGTCTGCTAAAAAGAGAGGAAGAGGGATCACCTGGTTTGCGCAATTCTTTTGTTTGCCACAGTCTTCGTTCTCGTTGTTGCTGAGGTGTTTCAACACTGTATGGCTAAACCCAAAACTCAGACATGAACAGATTGCTGATAATCGGTTGCTGAGTATAAACTGACAGCCACAGTATTTATTTCCGGAACATTAAAGGTGAAAGCGAGTGTGGTTGATTGTAGGAGTGGTGACTGTACAAATGAGCATGTGCCTGTCCTGTGTTTGTGGTGTGTGCGCAGGTCCAGACGTGGCTGTCTTCTGCCTGCTTTGCGGAAAGCGATTCCAGACGCAGTTGTTGCTGCAGCAGCATATGGGCGTTCATGCCCGCGCACGGAGCTACACCTGCAGCCAGTGCGACCGCACCTTTCCCAGCCACACCACACTGAGGCGCCACCTGCGCTCCCACACAGGTGAGG